AAAAAAAAAAAACAGAATCAGCAGCATGCATGTCACGACTGTTGGGTCTGTTCTGTTGGGTATGTTGAATTGAATCATTAATTGAAAGGGGTGTGTTCAAAATAATAGCAGTGTGGAGTTCTATTAGTGAGGTCCTTCAGTCTGTGAAAAAACAGGTGTCAAACAGGTGGCCCTTATTGAAGGATGAAGGCAGCAAATGTTGTACATGCTGGGTATACAGTGCATTTCTCTCTGAAAATCTCAGTAAAATATATGTTGTTCCAGACATTGTTCAGAAGAACAGCATACTTTGATTAAAAAGTTGAGTGGAGAAGGGAAAACGTATTAAAACACGCAGAAACAAGTAGGCTGCTCAACTAAAATTATCTCAAATGTTTTAAAATGGCAACCAAAACCAGTAAGACGTGGAAGAAAATGGGAAAACTACCATTTGACTGGATCGAAGAATAACCAAAATGGCAAAGACTTAGCCAATGATCAGCTCCAGGAAGATCAAAGAAGGTCTAAAGTTACCTGTGAGTGCTGTAACAATTAGACGCCTATGTGATGCCAAGCTATCGCAAGAACCCCCGCAAAGTCCCATTGCTGAAAAAACGACGTGCTGAAGAGGTTACAATTTGCCAAAGAGCACATTGACTGGCCTAAAGAGAAATGGCGCAACATTTTGTGGACTGATGAAAGTAAGATTGTTCTTTTTGGGTCTAGGGGCTGCAGACAATTTATCAAATGACCCCCAAACACTGAATTCAAGCCACAGCACACTGTGAAGACAGTAAAGCATGGTGACGCAAGCATCATGATATGGGGATGTTTCTCATACTACGGTGTTGGGCCTATTTATCACATACCAGGATCATGGATCACTATGAATACATCAAAATAGTAGAGGTCATGTTGCCTTATGCCAAAGAGGAAATGCCCTTGAAATGGGTGTTTTATCAAGACGACCCCAAACACACCAGTAAGCGAGCAGCATCTTGGTTCCAGACCAACAAGATTAATGTTAGAGTGGCTAGACCAATCCCTGAACCTTAATCCAATAGAAAACATGTGGGATGACATAAAAAAATGCTGTTTCTGAGGTAAAATCAAGAAATGCACAGGAATTATGGAATGTAGTCCAATCATCCTGGGCTGGAATACCTATTCACAGGTGCCAGAAGTTGGTAGTCTCCATGCAACACAGATGTGAAGCCATTCTCAGAATCCGTGGTTATACAACTAAATATTAGTTCATTGATACACAGGAAAGCAAAATCTTCAATCATTTTTCAGTTTATACAGTAAGGGCCAGTTCACAACAGAAACGCACTCTGGGTGCATTCCGGATATGTTTTTGCTTGCAGTTCACACCACACTCTGTTCCAGTGCAGTTTTGATGCAGTTTGCTATGTTCCAGAACAGTTCTGAGCAGAAGAAATGCAGCATGTTTTTTTTTTTTCTGCACCAGAAACTGACTGGAACTGACTGCACTGGTGTGAACTAGGGCCATTGGAATACATGGAAAACACACTGTGCATGCATTTTTGATGCAGGAAAAAAAAAAACTGCACTAGTGTGAACTAGCCCTAAATGTTTGAGTTTATAAAGAAAAATAATGAATTAAAACTCATAAATTTCCCACATGAAAAGTCAACCTTTCACCCTTGAAAGTGCATAAACAAATTACCTTTTCATAAACTACACACAAATACCATAATCTCATATACGCAAAATAATGTCCATCACAAGTCCCATAAAATCCAAAAATTATAAAAAAAACAAAAATTATAATCCAAAAAAACTATAATCCAAAAAAACTTTTTTTGGATTATAATTTTTGGATTTTATGGGACTTGTGATGGACATTATTTTGCGTATATGAGATTATGGTATTTGTGTGTAGTTTATGAAAAGGTAATTTGTTTATAAAGAAAAATGCAGACAGTTATTTTTTTTTGAACAGCCTAATATTCCTTTTTTTTCACTTCCTCTAAAGTAATAACAAATTTGAAACATATTTCTTCACGTTTTTGATTTGGAATAGACTGTGCAGTATTCTCAATGCATTTGCGTGTCTGGAAATAAAAGCTATAAAGAGTATTTTAAGCTTTACTCACTTTTTTAAACACGCTGCTATTATTTTTAACACAGCTGTACCATGCAAGCTGGTTACTCTAGCGTTTCAAATGAATGGGCTGAAATTGCACTGCACCTGGGTCACATGTGAATCATTTTGGAATATGCGAACCGGCCCTTACTGTAAATTGGATTATGTGGAGACGAAAACTGCAAAATTTTGAGAGACATCCTAACATGCTAATATTTGGAAAGAAAAAATGAGATCTTTGCAAAAATAAACCATTTCTATACAAGAATATTTCAACATGACAAACAGGAGGAGAAATGTTACTGATGTTAAGATCTTAAGATAATAAATTCACTTTTGTCAGTGTTTTGGAAATGTTATAAATGTTTTGTGAAAGTATCAGTATAAACACATCTATTGAATCAACTTTTCGTTTTATGGTGGTGGCTCTTTAATCAGAACTGTATATTTATTTTTGCGTTTTACATTTGAAAGCATACTGACCTAAATTCCAGTATCCAGCTGACGCGACTGATCTAAATTCATCCAAACATTACAGCATATTTGCACATTAAAGACATATGACCTCCAACAACCCCTTATCTCCCTTTTGTTTCCTTGTATGGTCAAAATGATCACATCAATCAAAAGCGGGGCTTCCACACATCTATCCCATGGGTCATTGCCTGTTGAAATACAGAGCCCATAAGGAAGTCTGGACAGGAAAAGGCAATCATTCACTGTGCTCCAAAATGACAAAGTATTTTTTTTTGTGCTGTCAGAGATACATTTAGTTATTAGGTTTTTATCTCTTGCTGGTTTAATTGGTTATTACTCACTTTTTGCCTGATCACATGAATTTTGTTGCAGGGGTGTAGAGATGAGAATTATTTTTGTAAAATAACTACTCTAACTTAGTTGGTGATGTCATGTACCATGGTTCTTGCAGCATTGACAGAGGATGATAGGGATGCAGTCTTATGCAGGCCATAGATGGGGAGAAAAACGGCAGATTTTTCTTTTAAAAAACGAAAATTCGGTCGTTCAAGCGGCCGACGTTACCATCAATGGTAAAAAAAATCGGCCGATTTTCATCCCTTCTACAGCCGGCAAAAAGTGTCCCTGCAGAGAGCTCCGCTATTTCTGACAGTTCTCTGACAGTTCCTTCACATTTACAGCGGTTGAAACATTGTATCTATTTGTTTCCATTTAGGATACAGATCTTTTTATTCGGAAACAAATAGATACATTGTTGCAACCGCTGTAAATGTCAAAGAACTGTCAGAGAACTGTCAGAAATAGCGGAGCTCTCTGCAGAGACACTTTTTTGCTGGACTGGAATTCTTCTTATTTTCATCCTACTTCTTCTTCTTCTTCTTCTTCTTCATCCTCATCCTCTTCTTCTTCTTCCACATCCTCTTCTTCTTCATCATCATCCTCATCCTTTTTTCTTCTTCATCATCCTCATCCCCTTCTTCATCCTCATCCTCTTCTTCATCCTCATCCTCTTCTTCTTTATCCTCATCCTCTTCTTCTTCATCATCCTCCTCCTCCTCTTCTTCTTCCTCATCCTCTTCTTCTTCTTCTTCCTCATCCTCGTCCTCTTCTTCTACATCCTCATCCTCTTCTTCTTCTTCATCTCATCTCTTCTTCTTCTTCTTCCTCATCCTCGTCCTCTTCTTCTTCATCCTCATCCTCTTCTTCTTCATCCTCATCCTCTTCTTCTTCTTCATCCTCATCCTCGTCTTCTTCTTCATCCTTATCCTCCTCTTCTTCTTCCTCATCCTCATCCACTTCTTCCTCATCCTCCTCCTCTTCTTCTTCTCCTCCTCATCCTCTTCTTCTTCTTCTTCATCCTCATCCTCTTCTTCTTCATCCTCTTCTTCTTCTTCCTCATCCTCTTCTTCTTCATCCTCTTCTTCTTCATTCTTCATCCTCATCATCCTCATCCTCTTCTTCTTCTTCTTCCTCACCCTCATCCTCTTCTTCTTCTTTCTTCATCCTCATCCTTATCCTCATCCTCTTCTTCTTCATCCTCATCCTCTTCTTCTTCATCCTCATCCTCTTCTTCATCCTCATCCTCTTCGTCTTCTTCTTCATCCTCTTCTTCTTCTTCTTCATCCTCATCCTCTTCTTCTTCATCCTCATCCTCTTCTTCCTCATCTCTCTTCTTCTTCATCCTCATCCTCTTCTTCTTCTTCTCTTCCTCATCCTCTTCTTCTTCTTCTTCATCCTCTTCTTCTTCCTCTTTTTCTTCTTCTTCATACTCTTCTTCATCCTCTTCCTCTTCTTGTTTTTCTTCTTTTTGTCTTCCTCTTGCAGGTCACTGCTCATGCGCAGATTTTTTATCGGCAAAAAATCGGCCGATTTGCCCACTAATCGCCGCGAAAATCGGCCGATCGGCAAAATAGGCCGATTTTTTTCCAACTTTACAGAAAAAAAAAAAACGGCCAAAATACCGAAAAACCGGCCGACCAAATAGCCCACTAACGATCCGAAAATCGGCCGATTTTATTTTCGGCCGAAAAATCGGCCGATTTTTGACCCATCTATGGCCTGCATTAGTTTGGGCCCAGAGCTTCCAATGGCTAGTACCAATATTTGTTAACAGCACTAAGCGTGTAATGTCTAAACCCACTTTGTGCATATGTGCATGCCAGTTCTGAGACAGTTCCAGTTTATTAGATAGAGCTAAGAAGAGAACATGTGTAAGCAAAAGCTATATTGCAAAAATGTAAGTTACAACAGCCTTGCATCTTTTTTAGTTTAACATATAAAATGTGTGCTGCTTTTACCCATTAGGATGCTGTAGTTTTTTATTTTCTTCAACATGTACTGTAACTTTTTCTACAGCATTTTCCCTGCTAAATATTTTCCGTAGTACGAGAGGCAAAGGTCAACTCTAAACAAAGTATACTGTGCTTAATTTCAGCTACCGTCCTATCGTTGAGTACATTGATGCTCAGTTTGAAGCATACCTTCAAGAAGAACTAAAGATCAAGAGGTCGCTTTATAACTACCATGATACAAGGATTCACGCCTGCCTTTACTTCATTGCTCCCACTGGCCATTCATTGAAATCTCTTGACCTGGTCACAATGAAGAAACTTGACAGTAAGGTTCGTGTTCATTTGAGGTGATTAGCTGCAAGGTTCTTGCTGTCAAATGTATGCATGGTTATGACATTTTTCAAAATATTTAGCAATTTATTTTCCTTTAGCCATCACGGAAATGTTTGATGGCATGTATTGAAAATATGAACCTAGTATTACGACCTTCTAGCAGCCTTTGCTAGTCAGGTAGCAGGTCAGTAAAAGTTCCTCTTCAATGACTAAATGTCTTATATGTATAAACTTGTATTCACATGAGCTTGTGGTTTTTTTTTTTTTTTGTGACACTACATAAAACTTTTATTGGTTTAGAAAGGATGAGAGCAGTCATGTTTGTTTTTTTTCACCACCTTTTTTTTTCCGACATCACAAATTTCCTGCCAGGTTTAAAGCACTAATAGTGTTTACAGAGGTAATAGAAAACGAATGTGCTTAGCAGATGTTGTTCCAAATAGATGGTTTTATTTTTATTTTTTTTTGGAAATTATTCTGTTGAGTATGTATTAGTTAAAGGGTTAAATCTAGAAACATCTTCAAGGCTTTACTTACATTTTGCATTCCCTTCTTCCTCTCTAAGAAAATAAACAGATCTTTCTATCTTTCTTTATTCAATATGATATATGAGATATTGGCATACACAGCATTCTTGTTTGTTGTAGGTGTCTTGTAACAACCTCCTGATAACTGTTGTGTTTTCACCAAAACATAACCACCAAACATTGTGATTACAAAGGTCATGCACCTTCCTAGGCATTTTTTGTAAAAAAAAAAAAAATAATAATAATAATTTGTACTTTTATCTAATTGAGTTCATAATAATTACACTACATGGATGCTATTACTTCTTATTCCAGAAATAAAGACTTGAAACAGAATTGTGAAGTTTAGCTTTAGGTACAGCTGTCAATAAAATACAGCCTTTCATTGGTAAAATTGTTACATTGGACCACTATGTAAAAAAGAGAAGTCAAGGAAATAAAAATGATTAGATGAGCTGCAAATATTACAAACTATATTTTTCTTTTATAGCCAACAAATCTCTTTTCTTTCCTATACGTGTTAAAATTAGTAATATAAGAATATTTTTTTCCAGTGTTCAGTCGTCCTCACTTGTTACCATTTTTATAGAGTATAATGTCATTTAGCACCCAAGTGTTGCTTCTGTAAACATACCTTCTTTCTACTGGGAAGGCACTATGTGCTCTAACCAAATAGCAAAAGAATTTCCAGAAAAAAGGGCGAATTCTTTCATATACTTATCAATTGGTTGTGTATGTCTGCACAATACTTATAGTGTCATTGAGATTCTGTGTTTACTTTAGTAGTATCTATTGAAACACATTCATTTTCAGTGTCAGAAAAGTAAACTAAGGAAATACTGTATAGGTGCTTTGTTATTTATGTAGGATTGCTTGTCAGTTTTGTTGTTGGCAGCCAAAAGTGTTGTGTGTTGGGCAGAATGCATGCAAGAGGCTGACTAGCCCCTCTTTTTATATGCAAGTGGTTCCATCAGTAATGCTTGAAAATTAGTGTGCTCTTTTTTACATATCTAGGGCAGTGAAGTTTCCCCTCAAGAGTTTATAAGACCAGTACTGAAAGTACAACTGCAAGGAAAATAGTACATAGATTTTATATTCATTTTCTGTTCTGTTCTGTTATTCCAGTAGGAATCATGGCAGAAATCCTGGTAGTGGTTCTGACTGGCAGCTATTTAAAAATTCCCCATAAACAAAAAAGGTTAAACACCAAAAGCATGAAGATGCTGCATTGGCATAATGACATTCCTGAACAATAATGGTAGGCTTTTGAATGAATGAATGACAGTCCTTTTGGGTCTATGCTATCTGCTCTTCTAATTAATGATGATATGGCAGACTCTGTAACACCATTTTCCCCATCAGGGTGCAAATAATTAGACTGTTTTTGTTTTTTGTTATGTGGCAGAAAGTAAAGGGAAATCTCCCCAATAGGGTCAGAGGCAGCTATAAATACAGTGCAGAAGCTATAACCTCTTCCCTACTAATATAACATAAATTGTTTTGGCTGAAGTTGGGCTACAGGGCTAGCTACAATAATTTTTACATTCAATTCAGATTGACCTTTCACTAGTTTCACCACTGCAACTAGAAACCGATAATGTTACAGTGTAAGCTTAGATAGTATTAGCCCGCACTTTCACTTTAAGTGGTTATAAAGGTAAAAGGTTTTTTAACTTAATGCATTCAGATTATATAGGAGGATTTTGTTTTATCTCTGTTTGTCACCTGAGGCCACACTTCACTGGGTATATGTAAGAGTTTACAGCCACTTTGTTCTTTTGTAAGATGTGGCTTAGTGTTCAGTGGAACACTGGTGTCATTGTGCATATGTACTTGCACATTGGTTCTCCTAACACTCTGTAACTAAAGCACCAACATTAGCGTCTCAGAAAATGTTTGTCTATTTTGGTGGTGGGGGAACTTTCATATATCTGTAGGTCATCCCATCCGCAGCAAACATCCATGCCTAATCTATGAACAATGAAGTGTTGATTGGCCAGATTGGAGTTTTCCTGGCTGATTACTGCTGTTTTCTGATGAGAGAGGCTGAGATGTCTGCAAAGTGGTCCCCCACCCTTCTAAACGCCTCAAACATTCATAGTTGCCTGATGCAAACGTGCAAGTCCGCACCACCATCTGTTGATAAAAAGACTGTCTGTTGACCAGATCCTGCATTAGGATTTGGAATGTCTTTAAGCATGTTTACAGTATGGAGCCTAAATCTCTACAGTTCACACACAGAAGCCTGGCTATGTTTGTGTAGGAAACCCTGAGAGACTTTCATGTGAACTACCTGCACTGAATGCCCCTGTGACTTTACATCTTAGCCAGTCTTGCTTTCAATATCCGTTTTCCATGTTCCAATCTCTTTTCTCATTATAAGGTGATTGTTAATTTCCAGCTGAGAGAGATGCATGTCAGAAAGTAAACTGATACAAAAAGTACTGGCTCACTGTCATTTTGTAATATAGGTGAATATCATCCCCATCATTGCCAAAGCAGACACCATTGCCAAAAATGAGCTGCACAAATTCAAAAGTAAAATCATGAGTGAGCTGGTCAGCAATGGAGTTCAGATCTATCAGTTTCCTACAGATGAAGAGACTGTCGCAGAGATCAACGCTACAATGAGCGTAAGTTATATTGTTGTTTAGTTTCTATTTGGCAGCAATATTTGCCTGCGATTGTCATACAACAGCTTCTATTCTAATGCCGCTAATGAAGCTACATCTGGATTCTCATTCAGTTTACAATTGGGTGGCTGATTTGAGCATATCTTTAAACAATAACATGGTATGTCCTGTGTTGTATGACTAATTTAAAGTCTGGATAAGTTGAGGCGTAATAAACTCGTGCAACCAATAATAAAATCTACCCACCCAATATATTTCTTTGTGTAACACAATCCAGTATGTAGTATGTCTATCTTAAATAGCACAATGAACAGGGCAATAGATGTTTTAGACAATGATATATAAATTGATGAATAACTGGAATGTATTTCTTCATTATTAGATTATGTCTCTGTACTGAAAATATATAGAGGATGCCATTATTATTGACCTCACAAAAATACTACTTGCCTGGCTGCTTCTGAATCTGACCATTTTGATTTAGTGGCCCTGAAACATGTGCAGAATTTCTGATTTGCATATTTGTTTTAGGTCACTGACTTAAAGCAGCCAAGCAGCCACACAGCATTTACAGATGAAAAAGTAAGCAATTGCAGTCTATATACTGTATATGTATCTCAGAAAAGGCTTCCTGTAAAGCTTGTTAATAGTTTTATATTATGGAATGAATGTGTTTGAAGCTGACCTTTTATGTAAGGGAGTTGTAATACATATACTGTATGTAAATTGTTTCACCTGCACAAGGATTTGCTCATTCTGCTCAGGCAATCTTCAGATCTAGACAACATAGCCTGGTTATGGACCTCAGTTGCCATTTATCAGTACCACAGACCTGCAGAATGAACAATGAAGGAGGAGCAACAACACCCCAATGAATTGCCACTCTGCTCTTCCCCTCTGTCAGGGATCTCAAGTTCACTTCCTGTCTGCTGTTCATGTTTTAGTTCTCATGTTTTCTTAACTACTTATGTACCGTTGCACGTTTTTGAATGGCAAAGTGGTGGACACCCTCGGACGACCAGTGCACCCATTAATGGCTGTCAACCCAGCCCTCCTCAGACAGCTCAGTTCACGGACAGTGTACAGAGTCAATCTGAGCTGCTCTGTACCATGTGAACACTGTGATGACCAGTCTGTGATCACAAACATAAACTGTGTAGTATTTACATTGCAGAGTCCACATATTCCTCTTACAATAGAGGAAGGAGGAACAGATGAATGAATTGTACATCCATTAATTCCAGATCAGTGTATCAGAGGATTCTTGGGTTATGGATTTTTTTTTAACCCTTTCAGTACCACCCGCACTACCCTCTTCTCTCCACTCCTGTCTCTGCAGTGAACTGTGCATTAATGCCTTCACCTCACTTATCCTGAATAGCTGTACATTAACCCCTTGATCCCTATCATCCCACTGTACATTAACCCCTTCACTTATTCCTCCCCACTTTGTGTATGAACTATACAGTACATTTAATGTATCTAGTCCACCATTACCAATCTCTGTTTTAACCCTCGTAATACTAGCATGTTTTTTAATTTCCAAAAAATTGCGTCAAAAGTTGAGTTGTCTACTTTCTAAAAAGGGATTCTTTTGGGGGGTTTGCACTGTCCTGGCATTTGTATTTGATCTGTTTCATTTCAGAAAACATTTTTGGTCTTTCCCCTTACATAGTTAAAAATAAAATAAAAACAGTGGTTATGAAATACCACAAAATAACAGCTCTATCTGTCTCAAAAATTAATGTATAAATGTAATTTCCTGTCAAACTATCACAGCACTGAAAGTGACCTGATAATGAAGGGGTATTACATGCTGGTACTGAAGAGGTTAGTTTGCTGAAATTGGAATGTGACATTTTGAAATATTGATTGACTGCAAGCTTTCTTCACTTGCATATTGTTTTCTAAGCTTTGCTTAGCTTCCACCGCTTTTTACTGTTTATGGTACATTGCATACATTGGTATAGCCTTTTCTCTTCTTTTATTAGTTTCCTAACTTTAATAAATGTAATATTTATTTTTCTTTTTATAGGTGCACCTTCCATTTGCAGTGGTTGGCAGTACAGAAGAAGTAAAAATTGGTAACAAAATGGCTAAAGCAAGGCAGTATCCCTGGGGTATTGTGCAGGGTAGGTTTCCAAGATATATTTAAATGACATTTGTTTAAATTCGGAGTCTGAAAAAGCTAGCATGCCAAGGTTACTGTTACCTGTAAAGCATTTTCATTACCTCACTTTAGCCTTTGTTGTTTTTCTATAATTTATCAGTTGAGAATGAAAACCATTGTGATTTTGTGAAGTTGAGAGAAATGTTAATACGAGTAAACATGGAGGACTTGAGAGAACAGACACATGCTCGCCACTATGAGCTGTACAGACGCTGCAAACTTGAAGAAATGGGATTCAAAGACACCGACCCAGATAGTAAACCCTTCAGGTAATCATGGCATTTCCTTGACTTTGCAGCAAAATTAAGTTATTTTATTTATTGCTGGTACCTATTTAGCGCCTTCAATTTACACAGTGCTTTACACGTATATATTGTACATTCACCTCAGTCCCTAACCCTGAAAGAGTTTACAATCTAAGGTCCCAAACTCACATACATACACATACTAGGGCCAATTTATACAGAAGCTAATTAACTAAATCAAAATTGAAAAACTGACCATTGGCATTTTTTTATGCCTGGCATAAATATGTGACATAGTTTTGATATACAGAAAAGCTTTGGACTATGTTATATATTCATGATTTTTTTTTTTTTCTTAGCAGCAAAAGAAAATGTATATGTTCAGCCCAGGTTATAGCATAACAAATACCTCCGTTATCTCATATCTGTGGTAATTTTTCCATTATTTCTTATGTTTATCATACAGTACTGTCACTAAGTTAGTGGTACACCATATGATTTGCTTCTGTGCTTACACGTACAGTAGATTATATGTTGTTTTACCACAGCAGCTGTCAAGCATTTAAGGAATTTCTGACTGACTTCCTGCATGCCTGAGGCCTCATCTGGCCATATTAGGCTTGGAAATAAGATATAGGCCCAACTTGTTCACTTGGGAAACACACTGTAAGTTAAAGGCTGTTGTGATTAGCACAATGTGTTTTTGGGCACATTAATTTTTGCTACCATTTTTAACCATTTCAATACCGGGCAACTTTACACCTTCCTGCCCAGACCATTTTTTTCACGTTTCAGCGCTCTCACACTTTGAATGACAATTGCGCGGTCATACAACATTGTACCCAAACTAAAATTTTTATTATTTTCTTCACACAACTAGAGCTTTTTTTTGGTGGTATTTAATCACCACTGGGGTTTTTATTTTTTGCTAAATTAACAAAAAAAGACCATAAATTTTGGAAAAAAAAAAAAAACACGTTTTTCTTTGTTTCTGTTATAAAAGTTTACAAATAAATAATTGTTCTTCATAAATTTAGGCCAAGATGTATTCTGCTACATGTCTTTGGTGAAAATAACCCAAATTAGGATGTATTATTTCGTTTTTTAGGAAAGTTGTAGAGTTCACAAACTATGGTATAGATCTGAAAATTGATCAATCCTGAAGTACTGACGGCCAATCTAATTTCTTGAGGTCCAAGAATGTCAGAATAGTACAGATATCCCCCAAATGACCCCTTTTTGCAGAGTAGACAGTCCGACGTACTTCATAAGAGGAATGGCGAGTTTTTTGAAGTTGTATTTTTTTTGTCATAATTTTTCGGAAAATGAAAAAATGAAAAAAAATTATTTTCACAATTTTTTTTTTTTTTTTACATACTGTCACCAGTGCAGTACAGCGTCATCATATAACTGGCATGGCGGTGAACAGGGACACTGACTGGTGACAGTATGAAAAAAAAAAAAAAAAAATATATATATATATAATTATTTTTTTTTTTAATTTTTTTTATTACATTTTTTTAAATTTTTTTTTAAGATTTTCTTTTCATATTTTACTTTGACCAAAGTAGTACAATGTTACCATAGTAACATTGTACTACTTTGGGGAAGTGATCAGTATTTTTTTTTTTTTTTTACACAATTTGCTTATAGCAAAGAATTACTTTGCTATAAGCAAGCATTTACCTGAATGACATCGATTCATTCAGGTTTTTTTTTGTTTTGTTTTTTTGTGCTTAGCTGTGATTTGGCCACAGCTAATCACATGACATGTGCATGTGATTAGCTGTGACCATTCACAGCTAGGCAGTAGTATACAATGGATGGCATGAATGAAGCCATCCATTGTATACAACTGTCATGTGACCTGCTGTGATTGGTCACAGCAGGTCACATGGTACCGGCAACGGGGGCCGGTACTCAGATCTGTCATCGGACGTGTCCGAGGTACACGGCCGGTGACAGATCGCGCCGCTGCGCGGCTCAGGAACCGCGCGAACTGCGCATGTGCGGGAGGACGCCAAATGGCGTACACCCCGGAAAGCTAAAGCATTTTTGCGGCCTCCAAACGGCTATAGACCGGGCGGCTAATGGTTAAACTCCGTAAAATAATATAATCCCATCCTATATTTGGATGGGCATTTACTGCCAGATGTGTAACAGCTAATGTATATGTATACACCCTTCTTTGAAATGCCCAGTATTGCTTCTGGGCAGGAGAATCCCAACAAGAAATATGCATTTTCTTATTGACATCACCCAAACATGGAACTCATATATTAGACTCCGAGGTATTAATCTCTTTTCAATGAAAATGATAAAACCGTTTGAGCCGAACACCATTTTATCATAATCATTTCTGCCCAAACTTGTGTTGAAGTACAGTGGGTATAGAAAAGAATCCCCCCCCCCCCCTTAAAATAATCAAATTTTTGTTGCTTTGCAGCCTGAAATGAAGACACAGTTTTTGTTTTATACAGTTGTATTTACTCAGTGCAACTTATAATATCCCAGTGAAAGATATAACACGAACATATATAAAAAAAAAAATTAATTCAAAAACAGAATCACTGAGTTGGAAAACGGATCCCCCCACCTCCAAAAATGAATTAAGTGTAGCGAATCACCTTCTCAATGGCACACACAGCCATTTGAATTTCAACGGTGATCAGCTGTGGTCATTTTAATTAGCTCAGCATGAAAAGAGCTTTCCTGGAGCATTTCAGTTCCTGGTAGTGCAACTGAAGCAAACAACTATGGGTGGCAAGGCATCATAAAAGTAGTGTATTGGCACAAGCCAAGGTATGAATAGAAAAAAATTCAAAGGCTTTATCATTGCCTAGAAGCACAATGAAGTTTATTATTAAGAAGTGGAAGGTATTTGAAACAACACAGACCCTCCCTGGATCAGGACTTCGCTCCAGACTGGATGAAAGAGCCAGGGCAAAGAGTGGTCATTCTGTGCATGTGACAACAATATCACAAATTCTCCACAAATGAGGCATGTATGGGGGGGGGGGGGGGAGTCGCAAGAAAAAGGCCACTCCCCAAGAAAGGCCACATGCATTCACGACGGAGCTTTGCCAAAACACACCTTGAAGACTCTGGGGCCACATGGAAAAAGGGGTTATGGTGAGATGAGACTAAAATTGAATTATTTTGCCTCCACACTAAACGAGATGTCTGGCGGAAATCCAAAATGTCTCACCATCCAAATAACACTGTTCCTACAGTAAAGCATGGAGCTGGTCATATCCTGTTATGTAGGTTTTTCTCTGCAGCAGACTGGAGTACTTGTTAGGATAGAAGAAAAAATTGATGGGGCAAAATACTGTCAAATTCGTGAGGAAAATTTGCTGCCCTCTGCCAGAAAGTTGTCAAAGGGAAGGTTTACCTTCCAACATGACAGTGACCCAAAGCAAACAGCAAAAATGACCACACAGTGGTTGAAGGAGAAAAAGGTGAATGTCCTTGCATGGCCTAGTCAGAGCCCAGACTTAAACCCTATTAAAAATCTGTAGAATGACTTGAGGACTGCAGTCCACAAATGATCACCATCAAATTTACCTGAGCTTGAGCAGTTTTGCAGAGAAGAGTGGGCAAATATCGCAAAGTCTAGATGTGCAAAGTTAGTAGAGACATATCCCAACAGACTAAAGGCTGTAAATAAAGCAAAAGGTGATTCAACAGAATACTGACTGAAGAGGGTGATCCTTTTTCCATATCAGTGATTCTCATTTTGAATTTTTTTTAATTATTTTTTTCTGACATGTTGGTGTTACATCTTTCACTTGGTTGTTATAAGTTGCAGTTGCACTGAGATAAGTTGCACTGAGTAAATGCAGCCGGATACAACGAAAACGGTGTCTGCCTTCATTTCAGACTGCAAAGCAACAAAATGTGATTATTTTAAATGGGGTGTTTAATTTTTTTACCCACTATATATATATATATATGTATATATATATATATATATATATACACAGTGGGTATAAAAATGAAACACCCCATTTAAAATAGGAATACTGCTGCAGCACTTCTTTTCTGACTAAACTGCTGTATTTGCAAAAGTCTAGGGGCTCTGGATTTACAGGAATTTGACATCTGTAAGGAGATAGGTCTGAGATCATTCAGAATTCATTGATAGGTGCCTTCTGATGTTGAGCCGACCTGCTTCTGACCTGAATTTGACATACTTTAAGCAGGTTTTGCATTCCTACAGACTTTTACAGGATTGCAGTACCCACCTGTTGTGAACGATAGACTGCTAACAGACCCTAAAGTAGATATTTAAGTAGAATTCCAGGCTAAACCTAGCTAGTCCTAAAAATGCTCCCTCCCCCTCCTAACACCTATGCTGTCTAACCTGTGTAAGAAACCTTGTTTTCAGCCCGGTTCAGTCTGGTCATGTGGCCAGCTCCTCTGTGTCAGCCAGCAGCAGCTGCAGGGGGGAGATGAGAGAGCACTCAAAGATGGCTTGCAATGCCTGGGAACGGTGAAGTCTTCTATAGGCTCCAATGTGCCAGCTTTTCTTGGCGCTTGCTCCCCTCCCCTGCAGCCATTGCTGACTGACACAAGGGAGCCGGAGCATGTGACTGGACTGGAACAGTTTGAAAATTGGTAAGTATATGCATTTTTATTACACAGGTTAGTCAGCATAGGTCCAGCAAACACAAATGCTCCTGCGCTTGGGGATGGACTCGATGCAGGCTACAACCACATTAAGAATGTCCTGGAACATGCACACCTTGCTGCCCTCAAATGGACCGGGGGAATCCAAATATACTGAATGGGGAAAGAACAAAAAAGGGCGCACAGGCCTATTGCATTACCATAAAAAATGTTTAATAAAAAATAAAGTAGGTGTTGTACTCACAAACGACAATATAGTCAAGGCACATCATAAAAGAACAGCTGGATCAACACCGCGCTGAGTAACAGTCCGCAATAGGGAGTTTAGACATCCAAAAGGCTGACACGGGAGTGTCCAGGACGGCCCATGTGACCTTTGGTTTAACTAGTAGTGAGCATATAAAAGAGGGAGCAGACATTTGGTCAGTTGGCTCTGAGGAAGAGGCAAGTCCTCGAAACGCGTCAGTCTTTTGGATGTCTAAACTCCCTATTGCGGACTGTTACTCAGCGCGGTGTTGATCCAGCTGTTCTTTTATGATGTGCCTTGACTATATTGTCGTTTGTGAGTACAACACATACTTTAGTTTTTATTAAACATTTTTTATGGTAATGCACTAGGCCTGTGCGCCCTCTTTTTGTTCTTTCCCCTAGTCAGCATAGGTATTAGAAGGGGGAGGAAGCATTTTTAAGACTAGTTGGTTTAGCCTGTTATTTTACTTTAAAGCTAAACTTGAAGTTTTTTTTTTTTTTTTTGCAGTAACAGACATGCAGGATAATCTTACAATGTACAGAGCTGAGCAGCTGGAAATGGGTTCTTCACGATCTCCTGTTTGGCTCAAACATTGGTTTGCACTGCTGTTGAAGAGTTAATTGGCCAGACAACTGTACAGTTTAAGATTCAGATTGGGTCAGGTCTGCTACCTCAGTCTGTGAAAATGGAGAATTCACTATACATTTCAGGCAAGGTTATGATTTCCCTAACCCCTATCATTGTCACTTGGTGGGAAAGTTATATAGATATATATAGATGTAGAGAAAGTATTAGCTACATACTGTTTCAAAATACAGTTTTTTCATAATGGTAGTTCTTTAAATGCCATAGTGCTTGAGTTCCAGATATTGCCCTGTGCTACCTATGACAGCAGACTCTTCAGTAAAATTGGTACAATGTAGAGCTGCTAGTTTTTCAGAGCCATATGAGCGAATGCTGGGAAAGTCTAAAAGGCTTTCTTTGGCCCTTGGATGGTACTTCTTTCATGTCGGGGCACTTGGTGCCATATGGAGCATATTTCCAGTAATTGTCATTTGTTGTAATTTGTCACTTCTTGTTTGTGAGTATATTTCAACTTTCAATAAACTGTTATCTGGGATAATGCGCTAGGCCAGTGCACTCTTGTTCCATTTTTTCCTGCACATGATGATACACATCATGCCTGCCTTGCGCGGGGGAGCGATGGTTGGGCTGCCTGTCAGCCTCCCCACTTTCCATTGGCCGGAGCGTCTAACCCCCTCTTGACCTTCCCCCAATTGGGAGAGAAGCTGGGGATGGCGGCTTCTCTGATTTGCTGGCTGGGAAAATGGCAAGGACGATGCATGGAGGAGCTGAGAGTGAGTCCCGGCGGGCCCATGAGCTGGCTGAACTATACTCCCCAAGTGAGAGGAGACACCCCAGGCGCCTGCCTTTCTGTGGTCTTTGCCTTTTCCCCTGATGAGCTCCCCTCCCACCTCAGTGATCTCCTTTGCATCCTGCACACACTGAAGGGAATGAAAATAGGCCTAGAGCTGCCTCCCAGCTCTGCCCCTTAGCTCCGGCTCCCAGCTTTAGACACTTACTGGCTTGCAGCTGCTCCTGAGTCCCGCCAGTAAGGCTGTGACGCTAATATAAGGAAAGGGGGGGGGTTCTGATCTAATGAAGGTATCTGTGGGGGAGGGGCACTGATATAAAGGGACTGTGAGCTAAGGGGGGTGCTGACTGCTGATCAGAGGTCAGCACCCACCTATTAGATCAGCGTCCCCCTATATCAGCATCACCCCCTTAGAGAACTCCCATTAGATTAGAGTCCCTTTATATTAGCACCCCTCTCAGAGAAACCCCTCCCCATTAGATTAGAGTCCCTTAATATTAACACCCTCCTTAGAGATCCCCCCCAATTTGATTCACATTCACACTTCCTTAGGCCCCCCCCCATTATATCAGAGTCGCCTTTTATCAGCGACCCCCTTTAGAGATCAACAGTTGGTTATCTCTGTTGCCAAAAACAAAGTCCTGACAGTCAAAAACAAAAAATGGCTCCTAACTTTTTTTAGCTGGCTCCTAGATTCAAAGTATAAGCCAATACCTCCTCTGTAGTGCTGGCTCCTGTCCCATGTGGAGTGATACCAACTGCACTCAGCTGCTTATCTGGTCTACAGAGTGGTGCCAGCAGCAGGAAAGAAAAGATCTTTGGTCAGTGTGAAGTAATACACTGGACATTAATAGGTATGGGCTTTTTTCACACTGATGCGCTGAGGTTTACCCACAACATGGGTGCAGTGCAGTGTACTTGCAACTTTCCTATGGGTTTGCTGCGCTTAACCATAAACTTCTATTATATTCTGCGGGTTTGGTGCGCGCTTTCAGAAAGTGCACCACACCTGCAGGATATAATAGATGTGTATGGCAAAGATCAGCTAAGCCAGGAGAGATGCAAATGCACAGCGCTGCACCCATGGTGCAGATAAACTGTAGCATATCAGTGTAAAGCAGCTTTATAGGGGGCTCAGAACAGTAAGGGTTCTTTTATATTGGCAGTTTGGGGTGTGGTAAAACCCCATAGTTAAAATGTGTTTTTACACCCACCTACCCCCTCAACCACATCCCCTTTACTGCAGTGGCCAGGAGTGTACACATGTCTCAGCAGAAGTAGGAGTTATACGCCCTGGCATGTTTGGTGGGTGTAGCAACTGCCAAGCATGACCCATTCGAGTGAATAAGGCCTCACTGCAAGTGCCCTACAACCTTATGCAGTACAACAAACAATGGGTTAAAGCAGGCAATGTTGTGTTGCTTTCTCACCATCTGCTTTAACCCCTTGGACCCCTAAGAAGCATGCAAAGTGGCCCCATTTACTTGAATGGGTCGCAATTAGAGGCAGCAGCACCCACCAAAAGCAACAGTGGGTTTAATTTCTGCTGTGGCATGTATACATCTTTGGTTGTTGCCTCAGCAGCAAAAGGGGGTAGAGATTGGGGGCGGTAAAACCGCAGTTTTACCAGGGGCGGGGTGAAATACTGCTTATCACACGGGCTGGGTGAGGTGTGCAGCGGCCAGGGCTACATCTTTCTGTTTTTTCAAAACTGATTAAACCACGAGCCTGAAGAGTGCTGCTGCCAAATGCAACTAAGGACTTACTCACAAGTGAAGCAGGCCATGCTGCTCTTTTGAAAAGCGACCTGAGCGTATTTGACAGGTGGTGAGGAATCAATATGTTGCCTCTTCACCATCTGATTTAAAACCAAGATTGCTGTACAATGCACGCAATTGCAAGATGGTATTACGGAAATGAAAGGTTTAAATCAGGTGTGAGGAGACAATGCTGTGCTCGGTGAACTTTGATGTCTCCCATGTTGTTCAGTGAGATCTCCACACTAAGGTTGCCTACCCCTGGTATAGAGGATTTTGTAATCCTATTGAATCAAATGAAATCAACTGTTTAGTGCCACCATCTTCTGAAAGTGGTAACTAGCACAGCATGATGATCTCAAAGAAGGGTTATATGATGAATAAATTGTTTGTTTAGTAATGGTTAGCTTTTACTTTCATGTATGTAAATTCATGTAATGTAACTTGTTCATTTTAAGTGTTTCTTTAAGGTCACAGTTTTGAGAGAAATGTATTCTGTATGATTCTGTATTTTTCCACAGATAGTGATGTAACACTGCATCTGCAGAGTGGTAAAAAAAAAAAAAACTATTTTGTGAAGTGTATTTGTTCTTTCTCTTACCAGCCTCCAGGAAACATATGAAGCAAAGAGGAACGAATTCCTTGGGGAACTGCAGAGGAAGGAGGAAGAAATGAGACAAATGTTTGTCATGAGAGTGAAGGAAAAGGAAGCTGAACTTAAAGAAGCTGAAAAAGAAGTAAGGAGAGCTTGGCCAATATACACACACGTTACTCTGAATTATTTTCTTTGATCTATAGTATTTTACCAACCAATAAAAACAAGGGCACACACCTCAGAATAAAATGACCAGAGGGAAATGTTAAGTGTTTGTTTCATCTATACAATTTAGAGGCAATAAAAAAGTATATAGTATTGGATATTTTAATCTTGCGATTTTTGTGTTTGTGATGTACATTTCGAAGGATTCATGATATATTTAGTGCATTGTGTTGGGTTTTTTTTAGTGCTAAGATCAGTTAGTTTTTTATAGTCTTTAGTATCCCCTACATTATTGCAAATCACTATTTTTTTTTTTTTATCTCTTTCCAGTTATTGACAATATTACACTGTGATACAGAGCTGACAGAAAGAGGGAGAATCTGTATACAGTTGTGGTCTACTGAAACGCTGTGATTTGCAAATACTACAACATATAGCTTTTAGCCCTGGTTCACACTGATGCGATTTTGATGCGTTCCAGAAAGCACGAAATCGCATGACAAGTGAAAGAACATGAATTTCTATGGAGGATGTTCACATATTTGCAGTGTGAATCCAATGTGATGTTTAGTGCGGTGCGATTTGTAGCTCCATAGACTTAAATGGAAACTGCATGCTGTGGACTCGAGGATTTTCCAATACCAACTCACTGGAGCTGCTCCTAAAATCGCACTGCAAAGCGGATTCAACTCCCACCGCATTAGTGTGAACCTAGGCATAAGAAGCTGGGAAGCTGTTGTAGTTTTAACCTAGTGTGTGTCATTTCCACAGTGCAGATAGGCAATTTTATTAAATAGATGTGCAAAAACTGTTTTTCTCAATTTGTAAGGCTCCAATGCTTTCACATTGTTCTCATGCAGTTTAAGTGCAGGTTAGCTGCCTCTCCCATAAAGTTGTCCCACAGTTTTGGTGTGTTTTCTGAAAGCACATCAAAAATGCAGAATACGGGAGTCATTTCTTATACTTTGAATATTTTCCTTACATTGACTGTATCTCAATTAATCTTTTTGCATTCCATATGTCATATCTTTTTTTGACGACTTCGCCATGTTGTTTGCCAACAGCTCCATGAAAAGTTTGACCTCCTCAAGAGGACTCACCAGGAAGAGAAGAAGAAGCTGGAGGACAAGAAAAAGGAAATTGAGGAAGAAGTCAGCATGTTCCAGAAGAAGAAAGCAGCCACACAACTCCTCCAGTCCCAAGCCCAGCAAGCTGGATCCCAGCAAACCAAGAAAGACAAGGACAAGAAAAAGTAAGCCAACCTGTGTGACCTTTCTCCCATCTCAGGCTTTGGCATGATTGTGGCTACCTGCCATCTTCTCATTTTCATATTGGGAAACTGGTCTTACTTACTGTTTATTTAATTTCATATTGTTTTTATACAAAAAAAAGGAGAATATGAAAATGTTTGGTGAGAGAACACATTGGATGCGGAAAAGCTGAACACCTGTATTGAATGTATAGTTACAAAAGACAGCATTATCTATCATCAGTAATGGTAATGTACACATGCTACTAGGTGCATCTGTGTATTTTGAGAAGCCAGAGCAGGGTCTTTTTTCTAATCCAGGCAATTTGGCCTCTCCAACATATTTGGTATAGTGCCTTAGGCAGCAGAATAGGGTAAGCTGGACAAAGTCGTATCCTGCAAATGAGCAGATTTTTCAGCTAGCTGATTGCAGGTGTTTAATTCATACACAACAGAATATGTTTCAAAGACTAAGGGCTCATACAGGATTGCCTTGCAATAGTCATGGCTGTATAATTATTTAGTGCTACAGTGTACAAACGCATCCTCCAGAAAGACTGTGGATATTTAGGAAACAGAAATCACTGAAAATACTTTTTTGGTTCATGTGGACCTCAGAAGTTACATACCACATCTCTAGCTAACTCCGCAATAGAGATGAGTCACCAAGGAACAACACTCGAGTTCCCTGAATGATATACTGTTTGGCTGGAGATTACTTTTTTACTTTGCACTCAGGAGTGTTAGTGCACAGGCACTCAGATGGCCTTAGGGCCTTAAGAAATCTATGAGTCCTTACTCTGACATTGAACTGGACTGTGTATATACATTTTAGAGCAATGCTTATGTCGCTGAGCTCAAATCTCAGTGGTAGTTTAATAAAGTTACATTTTAAATCTATGTTAAAATAAGGTAAATTTCCCATGTGTGTATACATATTTTTAAACTGCAACTTTGGTTTTTGGCTTCTCTCCATTACGATTCCTTCCTATCAGACCAACATCAACAACGTATGCTATAAAAGACAATGGTGTACCTTTATAAAATATAGCAATGGCAGAACCTCTAAGCCAAAGGTAGTGAGTTGCTTCCACTGTTATCTGTCTCTAAGCAGTGCAGCCTTCATTCATGTTACATAAATATTATGTAGTTTTACCGGAGTGCAGTTTTCAGTTAAAAAAAAATAGTTGTTTAGTTTCAAGGGATCTTGTGCACTACACAGCTTTTGCACTTAAGCACTAGTTTAAATGCACCTTTGAAAAATGAGTTACAGAAATGTTCCCTGCATTCAGAATAATTTTTGCTGTAAATATAGGCATGCTTGCTTAAATTGTCAAATATTTCCTTTGTAAAATCTTAAGATACTATATTTTTGCATTTTATATCAGGCTGTGGAGATGCCGAAGGTGTTGAGTAGAATAGCTGGAAGTTTTATATTTATGGTAAAGTCAACCTATCATTGAAAATCACACACGAATCAGCAGGGCACAGGTCACCATCACTAAATTATTTTGAGTAGGCAGCTGAGGTCTCTGGATACCAGGAGCATTGAGGATGCTTGTTGTTAGAGATTGCAACAAATCTGTTGCTTACCATCAATATGTCCTTATCTGCCTGACTTAGAGTGAAGTAATACGAAGGTAATTCATTGTGCAACACTAGTAGGAATGTAGTGTTTGCAGATTTAATAAACAAATATGAATGCCTCATGTACATATATATTTGAAATACATCACATGGTATACATAAAACAAATCTATCTATACATTAGCACACTTTAAAAAGCTTTTTTTTTTTAATATATAAAGTAAAATTACCTCTTTCATGTGTATAGAGACTTAGAGCAAAAAAAAACACATTAAAAAGACAGCAGTTCCATTTTAATGAATTAGCAAGTTGCTTACCACACTGAATCTTGAATGGACATGAGAACAGACAAGATGTGACATTTTACCTAAGTGCTCATAGAAAAGCAACAAAGAACTGATCACTTTCTGCTAACATAATTCATGTATTTATCATAAAATAAATGGTTAGTCATTGCATTACATTTACATAGTTTATACTATACCAGAGTTTAGAGTCAACACTTCTGTTTGTGGTAGCTTTTTTGCTATGCATGGGCTTCTACTATATCCATGTAAATATAATAGGGTCTTAAACAGTCCCACATATAAACATACCAACAGTCAGAAGGAGAACATTTACTAAAACTGGAGTAGGAAGAATATGGAGAAGCTGTGCATAGTAACCAGTCAGCTTCTAACTGTTCAGTTAAAGTGGCACTAAAGTCTCAGTTTAAAAGACTGCGAGCTGACAGGCTCTTTATTAGCAGTAGAGACATGCATTGTCTCTTCTGCAATAAAATAAACTTACCTGCCTGCTCACAAATTTCTTTGCAATGTATGCTGGGCCCACAAGCACAACTCAGTTTACATTCCAGCACATTCTGCTTTAACCTTTGAAAATGAAATATAAATGCTGATTGTTTGCCATGCACACTAGCTCCGGATTCTTTCTACTCTCGTCTTAGTAAATTCCCCCCAGTTTGTTTCTGAACAAGGCTTGCAAGCACGTTTCTCAATACCCTATTACTAATAATAACCATTATCATTTTATTGAAACAATGTTACTTATTGTGAGACTTTATTATTTTTAAATACCCTCTATTAATGTCTCAACATGCTGATCACCTGACCGCTTCTTGGCGCTGTGCGGCACAGTATCGATGCACCAACCCTGGAGCATCAAGCTATTTAATTTTATTCACAGAACTAATTAACACAGTTGCAATGCAGTGGTCCGCGTTGCATCCTGCTGCAATGAAAACTACAGCATTCAGTACTTTTACTTTTGCCACACACTACAGCAATGCCATGTTGTGAACTCACACCATTGGAAACAAGGCATTTTTGGAAATGGCAACTATCATCGCCCCAACACATCTAGTGTGAATGAGCCTTTTACAGTCTTGTACTTGTTACAGAACTTTTGGTGAGAAAACTAAAGTATTAACATTTCTTGATCATACAGTAGAGGACACATGCTTCTTTAACCACTTCATGTCCGGGCACTTTTACCCCCTTCCTGTCCATGCCAATTTTCAGCTGTCAACTCTATCACACTTAGAATGACAATTGTGCAATCATCCAACACTGTAGCCATATGAATGTTTTAGCATTTTATTGAGACAGATAAAGCTTTATTTTGATGATATTTATTCACCACTGGGATTTTTATTTTTTTTGCTATATAAATGAAAAAGTCTAAAAATTTTGAAAAAAAGCGTTTCTTATAAAATTTTGCAAAAAAAATATTTCATCATAAATCTTGGCTACAATTTATTCAGTTATCTTTTTAGTAAAAAAATATAACCCAAATTAGTTTATAACCAAAAATTATAATTTAAAAAAAACATTTTTTGCATTTTTATTTTTTTTTATTATTATTATTTATGGTTTTTTTTTTACATACTGTCACCCTAGCAGTACAGTGCCACCATGGTGACACTGTACTACTTGTGGGGGTGATGAAGATTTTTTTTTTTTTTTTTTACACTGATTGCTTTTATACCCATAAAGGTTGTAAAAGCAATCATTTCTCCTTCTCTCTGGCTGCATTATTGCAGCCATTGAGAAATACTGTGTGAGCTGTGTTTGGTCACAGCTTGTCATATGGTACAAGGCTGTTGTGAATAGCCTTGTACCATGTGACCTCTGTGATCATTCACAGATTTCACATGTAGTAAGCAATGATGTCAGAAGTGACATCTTGCTTACTACTCTGCATGTGATCACTGATTGGCCAATCAGTAATCACATGATTGGGACCTCGCACAGAGATGTACGACGATCGGTGTTCCACTGTGTCCAGGAAGCGCGCATAAGCAGGGGGCGAGGAGGCAGTTTATAAACGGCCACCTGCTCCTGCACTGCCACCGTCCGGTCGTTTATATACAACGGCCGGACGGGAGGTGGTTAAATCAATGGGACTATATTATTGTAAATGCAGTTCCCTACAGGTAATTGGCAAAAAATAAAAGATGCAGGGACATCCTCTTATATAAACTCCCAGCTAGCTTCAGTTTTTTACTAGGTGATTGACCTCTTCTTTTTTCATAGAGAAGCCACCTTCTGTAGAGATTTTCTCTCTCCCTCCCTAGAATGGTGGATTTCCATCCAAGCACTGGAAATAGGAAGCCCTTTCCTCCACAGCTGTGGAAAGTTCTCATGATAGATGCCAACCACTCTGGCTGGGGAAGCAGTCCTGAAAACTCTATTGGTACTGGGGACTTTGTTGTCGAAGGAATCTCGCCTTTCAATAAAAATTCTGAAATTCAGGGCAATTTGATTGTCCATTAAGCACTGGATTCCTTTATTGTGAGGCCATCTAATGAAAATTTAGTTGGACAATGCCACAGCCATGGCCTACATCAATCATCAAAGAGGCACCAGAGGTCATGCTGCTCTAAGAGAAGCAAAATTCACCCTCCCTTGGGCAGAACTTTACAGTCTGGCCTTGTCCACCATCCTACATCACTGGCATGGAAAAGTAGCAGGCTGACCATCTCAGTCATTAGCAACTGTGTTCGGGGGAAAGGGCTGTCAATCCAAATGTCTTTATTGCCCTTTGCCACAAGTGGAGACACCAGACATGGACTTCTTAGATTCCAAATTCAGCAAGCATCATGCTGTTTAATTTTTTTCACAGAACTATTTAACACAGTTGCAATGTATGCATGGTCTGCCTCACATCCTGCTGCAGTGAAAACTTCTGAATGCAGTACTTTTACTTTCACCACACACTACAGCAATGCCTTGTTGTGAACTGACACCATTGGACAGGTATGTGCCATGTCCAGAGAAACTTGTGTTTTCGCAGTAGACACTCGTATGGAATAAGTTCAGCCTGATCTATTCCTTTCTGTCCTTCCATATTCTTCCTAACCTACAACACAGGATTGAGAAGAGCCTTCCTGTGGAACTCATTGCACAGATTTGGCCAGGA